CCCCCGGCACGCGCCCCGAACTCCCCGCCCCCCAAGTCCCCGGTCGGTCGGGTTGCGTGACCCCCCACCAACACACACACTTTTTGTTCGAGTAACGGCCAGGGCGGGGCGGCACAGCGGCCCGGACGGACAGTCGGGCGGACGGCCGGAAGGAAGACGCCCCAGGCCTGGACTGAGCTGGACCCGCGTCGTCCCCACCTCGGGAGCCGCGGGGTCGGGATGAGGGAGCCCCGGGCCCGCGGGCGGAGTCGACCGGCGTGTGTGGGTCTGAGAGTCTGCGTACCTGCTGGGCAGCTGGGCGGCGCGTGTCCACGTACATGTGCATTTGTGTTTACGCACGCGCCACGCTACGTGTGGGCATGTTGGCGTGTGTGTAAACACGCAGTCCACCCTGGGAGCGGGTGCGGTGTGTGTGTGCTGTGTGCTGTGTGTACACACGCACGTCGCCGTTTTGCAGACGGTTCCCACGCGCGTACACACGAGGGTATGGGTGGTGTATTGGAGCCCCACACAACAGCTGCAGGTGTGCATCTGTGTACCCCGCTCTAGATGCGTGTCCTGTGCCCTCCTCTGTGCTGGCTGACGAGTCTACCTGCACAGTGCATGGCATGGTGTACGCGGTTCAGTAGCTCTCAGCCAGCCAGGCTCCCATGCCCCAGGCCTCCCTGACTCAGGGAGCAGTAGTGCCCAGGGCTTGTGCTCTTGTGCTGCCAAGAGGCCACCTGGCCTTCACTAACTCAGCCACCCCAGAAATAACCCAGGGTGGTATCTAGGGATGAGGCCAGAGCCCCTGAGCTCCGCCTCTCACAGGTGTAAGGCTACAGCCCCAGCCAGCCTGTAGAGTTTGTGCCCAGTGCAGGTTTAGGATCCTAGTTTCTCGTTGGGGAGCCAGCCCCGGGAAGTTTTGGGAAGTTTTGGGCCGCCGAGGGGAACAGGGAAGAGGCAGGAGACTGGAGTTTCCTGCAAGTGGGATAGGGATCAGAATTCTCCCTGAATGTTGGGACACTGAGGGGAGATGGTAGCGAGTCCTCCCAGAGGAATCTTTGCTCACTTTCCTACCAGAGGTCTTAGGGGAACAGCTGACCCCGGGCTGGTCCTCACATCACAAGATGGGAGGCCACTTTGTCTCTCTGGGCAGGTCCCACCCTCTGGCCTCAGTTTTCTCAGCTATACCTGGGTGGGTGGGTGTTGACCTCTAAGGAGTGAATGGCCAGCTGCCCCCAACCGTGGCAGCCCCACCCTGCAGGAAGCTCCCTAATCAGCCCGTTTGTCTCAAGAGCTGGATGTGGCAAAACTTGCAAAACCACATTCATGGCAGTTTGCTTGAGTCCCACATCTGCATATATGGCTCCCTCCCTGCCTGGGGCTGGGAAGGCAAGGTGTCCGGTGGGAAGGGGCCCTGCCTGTCGGCACTCTCAGCCCAGTCACAGAGCCTGGTACCAGCTGGGCAGTCACTCAGGCAGCATTGGTTGGTGTCGCTTGGTCACAGGAATTGGAAATGTAGCTTTGAAGATTGAAATGCTTGGGGAAAAACTCTGATCTCAGGAGGGGCAGGTGCAGCGTGCAGACTAGGAGGCTCTGGTGGCCCCAAAGGGTAGGAGCCCTGTGCTCCAGGCTCCCTGAGTCTCAGTTTCATCATGTGTAAAATGGGGATACAGAGAGTATGAAGGTTCACTTAAGGTGAAATGGGTTTTGAACATTCAGATCTCAGATCTCTTACTGAGAGTGAGTAGGGTTCCTCATGGCTAATTCCCCTCTGTGTCCTCCACGCCTGGCTGGCAGCATACTTGGGCTGAGGGCTGGTCCAGCTGGAGGCCATGTTTTGAGGTCACATTCTCTGTGATTTGGGTGTTGATGAGGACAGAAGGCTGCTAGGGGAAGGGAACCAGTGTGCTTTATGATTGGGGGAGCATTAAGAAGGCAGGAAAGGGGCAACCGTTTCTCCTTGGAATCCTCATACACAGCAGTGGCCTTTGGAGCTGCTTTTGGGGGAGGAATGGTTTGGTGTGTCTCCTGGGGGGGGGCGTGTCACAAGGAGGCGCTTAGAGACCAAGGCCCTCCCCCAGATTCCACACCCGTTTTTGGGGACATCAGGGTAGGGCGTCTCCAGCAGGAAATTCCCAGAATAATTCATTTGAATTTACTTTAATAATGAAACCCCCACAGTAAGCCCTGGGAGCCAGACTGGATTTTCTGGTGTGTTGGGAGTAGGGAGGGTGTTAGACGGGGCTGGGCTGGGGCTGCGAGACTGAGGGAGCATCAATAGAGGACAGAGCAGAGCGCCTGCAGAGCCTTCGCACACTTGACGGGCTCCCTCACCCAGTGCTTTCGCAAGAGCAGCTGGTTCCTTTATTTTTCTGGACGCCCCTCCTGCAGGGGCTGAACCAGGACACACCAACACCAGTGGAGGCCGCCCTGGAGCCCCTCCCCCCAACCCCCCAGGGCCACTAGATGAGCACTAGATGGGCTGCCACCCCCTCCTCAGGATCCTGGGTGCAAACCTCACCTCTGCCTTCCTCCTGCTCCATCATCTTGGGAGCATTCCAAGGAGGGCTCAGGTGACAGGACAGGAGTGCAAAACCCAGACCATCCTACTTAATTTCGGCTCTCCCAGCAGGACTGTGGATCTTAGGAGGTCACTGCTACAAGGGAGGGGAATCTGCAGTCCACCTAGTCCAGTCTCCTGTGGTGTGGATGGAGAAACCGAGGACCAGACCAGGGCAGGGTCCCTTGTTCAGCCCAGGAGAGGGGTAGAAGGGTCACAGACTCTTCAACACCTAGGGGCCTTTGCCATCTTCTGGCTCAGAGACAAAGAAATTGAGGCTCAGAGAGGAGTAGGGATTTGTCACCATGGACTTGGTAACAGTCAGGTTGAAATCTCCTGGAGGTCTTTCCCCATGAGACAGGCCCCTACGTCACGGTGACGATACCAGGTAGGTATGATTTGGAAGCCCCTGGCTGCCAGGTGGCAGGAATGACACGAGGGTCTTCCCTGACCGCTGGACCTGCCCAGGGCTGACAGGCACTTCATCTCTCCTACTCAGTAGGCAGGGCCACAGGGGTCCTGAGGGTAAAGTCAGCCTTTCTTCCCGCAGACGGCCCTCAGCGCCTTCTTCCAGGAGACCAACATCCCCTACAGCCACCACCACCACCAGATGGTAAGTGCCGGGCAGCCCCAGGGCAGCCATGCAGGATCTCCCAGTTTGGGGTAGGGGGAAGCCGCCCAGGCCTGAGGAAGGTGCAGTGGCTCTCAGCTGTGGAGGGGCTCCTGGGATGGGACTTCCTTGGGGCTGGACAGCAGGTACAGTGGGCCACCCATCTTGGGCACCACACCTTTCCTTTCTGAGCTCCCGGCTGGTGGACCACCTGGGATTTGGGGTGCATCCAGGGAAGGGGTACAGGTCTCCCCCTAGGAGGCAGCGGAGGCACGGGGCCCTCCTAGAAAGGGAAGCTCACCCTTCTTTGTTCCTCTTCTCCCCACAGATGTGCACTCCTGCCAACACCCCCGCCACACCCCCCAACTTCCCTGATGCCCTCACCATGTTCTCCCGTCT